GATTTTATTCTTACGTCTGTGTTTATTCACCTATAAATATGGCCAAGATGGTTAGTTTCAAATATGTTTGATGTGAAGATTTTATTCTTACGTCTGTGTTTATTCACCTATAAGTATGGCCAAGATGGTTAGTTTCAAATATGTTTGATGTGAAGATTTTATTCTTACATGTGTGTTTATCCACCAATAAGTATGGCCAAGATGGTTAGTTTCAAATATGTTTGATTTGAAGATTTTATTTTTACGCCTGTGTTTATCACCTGTAAATATGGCCAAGATGGTTAGTTTCAAATATGTTTGATGTGAAGATTTTATTTTTACATCTGTGTTTATCACCTGAAAATATGGCCAAGATGGTTAGTTTCAAATATGTTTGTGAAGATTTTATTCTTACATGTGTGTTTATCCACCTATAAGTATGGCCAAGATGGTTAGTTTCAAATATGTTTGATGTGAAGATTTAAATCAATATATGTTTTTAATTGTTTTTCACATTTTTATTGCCAGACTGTTACAACCACAGATGCATTGCCAACAAACGATGGACCTGTAGACAAGGTATTCTAAAGTAGTAATTGATTCAAATTATAGTTAAAAAAAATAAAAAGATTAAGTGAATTGGACTCGTTCAATTTTAACAGCTGTACCTTTTTATTTATATATATACATATACTGTGTTTTACTGGCATTAAAACAACATTCAATTATTCAAGTTAAAAAAGTCAAGCTAAGTATCTTCAAATTTCTATAAAAGGCAGGGTTTCAGTTAAGTTATGCGTTTGTATTTAGGTAACTTAATATTGTTCTGATGGTTAATTCAATATTGCAATGAAAAGATATTGCCGATGTTCACATTATTCAAGAAGTTTAATTCCATATATTCTTGATACACTGTTTATTTTCTTTTTAATAGGCTACCATAACTGTTGCTACTTCACCAGCAAGGAAGAATAGTGAAGAGAAGGTGACTTATTAATAACTGTTTGGCTTTATTCAAGTTTACTGTATAAAAAAATTAATGTGTAAGAAATGAAGCTGTGTACGCGCAGACTGAAGTGCTAAAATCATAAATAATATTCAATGTTAAACTGGTACACAATTAAAAACATTTTATTTAGGCCTATCTATGGCATTCAAAAAGTTGGCGACTCTATATGTTTTGACGTTACAACGTCATCCTCAACGTTGAAACATGTAGAGTCGTCATCATTTTGAAGGCCATAGATAGGCCTAAATAAAATGTTTTTAACTGTATACCAGTTTAACGTTGAATATTATTTATGATTTTAACTTTATACACAGATGCCAAAATACTATAATTAAGACTGAAGAGCTTTAAATTTAAGTTCATTTCCGACAGTGTCCTCATCTAGTTCAAGTAAAATTTTGGTCTTGAAAGGTAATTTTTGATGACCGGCGTTAGCAAAAAAATAAATAAATAAAATGCTAATATTCTTCCAAACTCATTCGTTGTTCTTTAATATTTTCAGGTGAGGGATAAAGCTTACTTTAGAGAGCTTTTTGAGGTGTTTAGTTAATAGCATTACTTTTATATTGTTAGTATGTCTTGTCATTTAATTTCTCGCTTGTTGCTTATATGTTTACTAGGTTGCTAGTAAAAAATGTTCATGTTAAAATTTGTCTTTGGTTAATTAAACAAGAAATTACAAACGTAGGTATGCGAGTTACGTCACTCTTAATTAGCTGCATTTTTAAGAAGTAAAACTTAATCAACCACAAGTAATTGATCATGATACTAACAAATTTTTAAACGTAGAACCAAAAGGACAGATTAACACATTATCATAGAATAATTATTGGTAAAAATCAGTTAGATTAACAACTTCTAATATACGTCTTTATTATATCAACACTCACTACACTTACAAGGTTTCACGCCACACACTCCCTTGCACCCCCCGTTACTAAAATTGTTATGGGCAGACAGTAATCAAACCGTTCTATCTGGATAAATTAATTTTGGCTTTTATGACTCCTCCTTTTTTTCAAGCAATCAGGTGTGATGTGACACACACACACTGACTTTTATATAGGCTAGATTTTAGATTTAATCATCTTAATAAGCCTGTAAAAGTAGTAGTGGAGATAGAATTATTCGCAAAAAAAAAAAAAGTGGATGTGTTTGTAAAACAAGTTGTTAGTGGTGTAATGTTATTAAACTATTTTTCATCTACTATAAATATAACTTAAAAGTTGTGTATAAAAAATAATTTCATAGTCTATAATAAAGTTAGATTTAATCAGGAAATTAATGTTTTGAAAAGTAACTACTGACTTCAGAAACTTAGTAATTGTGTTTGTGTATAGGATGAAGATATTCCAGCTAGTCCAGATATTCATTTTGAACCTGTAGTAAAGCTTCCACTTGTGGCTGTGAAGACTTTAGAAGAGGAAGAGGAAGAAATCATTAAAATGTAAGTTATTGCAAATAAGGATGCTGTTAGTAATTCAACAAATAGTATTTAAAGGAATCAACGTACCATGAATATATTACGTTGACTGTATGCTTAGAATTCTCGAAACCGTGCATACAAACTACAGACGTAGTAGGGGAGGGAGTTTTAGTTTTGTATAATCGGTGTTATTAGTTATCAGGTGTTTTTTATTTAAAAAAAACATTCCTAATTCCAGCTAAGTTTTGACTGAAGTTGAATTGCTGTAAAGAATCATCCAACTGAAGTCGAAAGATGTGTGGCTTTTTTTGGAATAGTGTAATGTCAACAAACAAAGAAAAAATGGCAAAAGAACCTTTCTCAACTAGGAGAAACCTTTGTGATACACTGTTTTTTGTGATCGAATATTAATTTCTTTAACCCTATGCACTTAAGTTCAGTCAGTTTGATTGAAACTACTCCTACTGTGAGTTTCCCCGTTATCTAACCTAATAAGTTTCTTATTTTTATGTTGTAATTACTTTTGTGAAAAATATACATACAAAGAATTGAGCACCTGTTTTATCCTTGAGACCATTTACACTCGGGTGTCATACTGCAGTAACCCTACTTTTTTCTCATAATGTTGGTTGTCCAAAAAATAATGTGTAACCTTCAAATATACATTTTAAACACACAAAATATGTTGAACACTTGAACAGGATGTTCCCAAACTACTGTTATTTATCTGAGTTTCTAACTAAACTATAAATGTGTTAACTTCCGTTACTGATTGAAACAAGACTTAACACATGTTTCAGAATATGCTCTCTGTTGGTTATAAATATATATATTACACAAGTAGGCTTGAGGAAATAAGTGGGCTTAAATGAAAGAATGGATAGGAGAGGCTTCTTTGATGGGTTTTATAGATATATTGGTATCTCGGCAAATCACGGTGCAAAGTTCATTGAAAGAACGGATAGGAGAGACTTTTTGATGGGTTTTATAAATATATTGGTATCTTGGCAAATCACGGTGCAAAGGTTCATTTAAAGAACGGATAGGAGAAGCTTCTTTGATGGGTTTTATAAATATGTTGGTATCTCGGCAAATCACGGTGCAAAGTTCATTGATAGAACGGATAGGATAGGCTTCTTTGATGGGTTTTATAAATATATTGGTATCTCTGCAAATCATGGTGCAACGTTCATATTTGATATTCTTCCTTGTCAGTGTATGTTCCTTGTGGTTCCAATTATTTATATTTTTTTGACATAATTTTTTTTTTATGCTTTTGCATATAGTCGTGCAAAACTGTTCAGGTATGACTCAAAAGAACAACCAGCTGAGTGGAAAGAGAGGGGAACTGGAGATGTGAAAATACTTAAATCGAAATTCAATGGCTCGTGCCGTATCCTGATGAGGAGAGACAAAACCATGAAAATTTGTGCTAATCACTACAGTAAGAAGTGTTATAACATTTTTTTTTATATATATTTGTATAATATTACTATTATACCAGACCATTTCTGGGTACGTGTGATGGTTCTTTTCTGAGAATTTAATGCTGCACACCACTAATTGTGGTGCCCCTTAGAAAAGTGAGAATAAAATCACCCACAATTACATGCAAAGCTTGCAGTGGTATTGTAACATACTGTAATTATTTGTTAAAAGTCTATAGAAAAATTGAAGTTTTTGTAAGACGTTGCCAGGTAACTTGTGATATACTAGTGTGGTTTTGGGAAATACTGTTTGATTCATGTGTTATGACTTTTCAAGTGTTTGTGGAAGAACGTTATCCAGGCTAGTTAGTGTACTCTTAAATAATTGTTTACAGCTTAGCAAAATCAAAATTTGGTGTAGACAGTTAGAATGTTTTAAAGTAAACTATATATATATATATATATTTGTACCAGTAATTGTAATTTTATGTATGTATGCAAGTGTGACCAAAGTTTTGGTGTAATTTTTGTAAAACTGAGGTTTGTACAAGTGTTCCTTTTTACTCAGAAGTTAGTGAATTAAGGCTAATATTTAATCAGTGCCTAAGAGTTGTGTAATAAATCTTTCCATTTCAGTCCAACCATACATGGCATTGAAACCCAACTGTGGAAGTGACAGAGCGTGGGTGTGGAGCACACCAGCTGATTTTGCAGACGAAGAAGCTAAACCGGAACTTTTAGCTATACGGTTTGCCAATGCAGAAAGTAAGCTTTCCTCACTTCTCTCTTTGTATATGTGCTTTTATGTCCTTGTATGAAAACTTGTGAGATCTCAACGACATTAAAAAATAACTTGGTCTTATGATATGCAAACTTTTGATCTATGAGTAAAATGAGAATCTTGAGTATTAAAATTATAGATATCATATTAGATAGCTTTAATCTTTAGTTTACTGTTGAGTTTTCTCCTAATTGTTGCCGTATCAGAAGTTTTAGTTACAGAGGGTTGAGTATGTTATGTTTAAATTATAATGACAGCTGATAAAGTTCTGGTGGAATGGAATATATCAGAGCCACGTTTTACGTTTCACGGGTAGTATGATGCTTTTTGGAAGCGTGTGTAAGAGCCACTTATAGCACAAAATATTCATACACGCAGATCACAAAACTGTGTTCGATTTGGGGATTTAGAATTTCCAAGATAGGTGTATTTTGCCGTTGACAAATTTGTGTCTATAAGAACCGTTTGATTATTTAGGGAATGCATGGCAGTTCGAAGATCGAAAAAATTACTCGCTTTTGGCGAGTTTATGTTTCATATCTGTTCTTATATTCATTTAATTATCAAAATAACTATAATTATATTAAGTAATTTATCGGTAACTTTGTTTTAATTTATTACAAAACAAAAAATATATCACTAAGCACATGATGTTGTAAAGGTCGTACAACTTGGGCAGGGGTTGTTGACAGGTGATATCTATAAGAGAAGGTAGAATATCACCAATGAAAATTAAGGAAAACCCGTATGTAGCAAGCTGTGGATGATGTATAATAACAGTAAATTTGTTGGTAAGTTTTGAAAAAAATTTGGAAATATAGAATGATACACTGACAGTACATTGTAAGGGTTTCTGAGACATTGGCACTATTTGTTGCCAATCAATTTTTGTAGAAACCGTGAACTTGCACCATTGAATAAATGAATACATCATAATCTTTAAATATATGCATCGGATATCTGAACTTGTCAAGCAGCAAGAAATTAGAGACAGGAAAAAATAAAGACCAAAGGCAGATATCATTAAGTGCATCTTGATGGGGTTAAAATTTGTAATTTTGTTATTGTTTTGAAGTTATTGGATTTCAGACTACAATATACTGTTGAGATCAAGATAGTCATTTTTGTTAAGGTTTCATTGGTTCTACTAGTATGGGCAATGTATTAGTGTTTGTCCAGAATATATATAATGTGAGTTCTTTTAGTAAAAGATTTTTTATAATTTAGTGTAAGAAGCAATATTATGTAAGAACAAAATGAAATATGAAACAAATATGTCTTTGTACAGTAACTTTTGTGTCGTGTTGGCATAGGATTATAATACAATTATGGATATTGTTCTTTGTAAAGTAACGTTCATGTTGTGATGGAGTAGGATTATAATACAACTATGGATATTGTTCTTTGTAAAGTAACGTTCATGTTGTGATGGAGTAGGATTATAATACAACTATGGATATTGTTCTTTGTAAAGTAACGTTCATGTCGTGATGGAATAAGATTATAATACAACTATGGATATTGTTCTTTGTAAAGTAACGTTCGTATTGTGATGGAGTAGGATTATAATACAACTATAGATATTGTTCCTCGTCATGGATAGAATACTAAAAACTGATTCTGTTAATTACTTTCAACAATGTATTTAATTAAAAGCAATTTAAACTGTACGAAAAAAAAAGTTGGGTTACGATAATTTTTTTGTATTATAGATGCTCAGAAATTTAAAACTGCATTTGAAGAAGCTAGAAAATGGACCATAGATCATTTGGTTTCAGATGAAGATGAAGAGAGTGACGAAAAAGGTAGTGCAATGTTTAGCTTGAGGGTAACTTATTCAGTTGGTAACATGTTGTGTACAGTAAGAAAGTAATTCTGAGTAAAAATAGTAGTAAGCACTGTAACTACTACAGGACTTTTTTTTTAGATGTTTTAATGGAAAAGTGTAATGTTGTACATCAGCATGTAAACCCTTAATATTTACGCTAATCAAGTTTCGATTCAAATATTATTGTTTTAGTGTAGAGAGATTGTGAAATAAGCTCTGTTTTCAGAATTCTTTAAATAATTACAAAATTTTTTAAGTGACAGAAAAAATGTAGAGAATGTAAAATACAGGTATTCAAGTCGTACGTTTAATAGTACGTCAGTTTTAAAACAATTTGAATGTAAATAGTGACATTTGTTCATATCGTTATTAATAAGCATTAAGAAAATCCCTAACACATAAGTTTGAATGAACTGATAGTTGAATTGTGCGTTTGGCAGCTGTTAAAACATTTGTACTTTAAGATAACTTATTTTACTTTTTTATGACAACTCTTGAGAATGTGTTTTATTTGAATAATAAATCTAAATCGTTTTATAAATTTCAAAAAAATTATAAATGTAAATGTGGTATATTTATTATTATTATCTTAGATGAAGAGCAATCGGCTGAAAATGGAGAAGCGGATGAGGTGACTGAAAAATTTGATGAGTTGAAAGTTGAAGAGAATACAGTGAGACCCGGACAACAAACCAGTACAACAGAGAGGTCTAATTGTACATCAGAAGGTCCTGCAGAAGAACAGAAGAGATGAAACTAATCATTTCACTATTCTGTTCATACACACCAACTTCAAGTACGACAGGACACACTTAATGAAAAGGTTTCTGCCATTTTTTGGCATTCAGGGACCAGCTTTTTATATTTCCCTTCATACTGCTCCAAAGCCAGGACAACTCATTTTAACATGTGTGTGTTATCTATCATACATCATTTTGTCCCTCAGCTTGCTTTGAGTGTAATGTATAAGAACTTCTGTAAATTTGTTTCTTTCCTTTCCAAAGGATATTTAGTGTTACTTGTATTTAGAATCGGAAATTTCCATTTGAATAATAATAAATTCCACTCTCAATTTGTCGGGAAAACAGTCATTCCTGTAAAAAAAAAATTCTATTGTGGTGAATAAACACAAATGTAGTAACTGATCAAATTCTAGTTACATGTAGTTTATTAGATGCTGTTATGCACATATGATGCTTATCGTGTATCCAGATGTGTGTGTTTTTTGTTGTTGTAAACTGTGCTCATGAAACGGAGATTTTCATTTGGGGAATTTAATATTAATAAAAGGTTGGAGAAAGCTGTTAACTTAGTATAATGTAGAGTGGCTAATGATTTTTCTAATACTAGTATTATTCCGTTAGCTCGGGTGTGACTAAGTGTTTAGAGTGCTAAACTTTGAACCTGAGGGTCCATGTTCAATGTTGCTTGACAAATGTGATGGTTAAATTCTCAAACCATTTGAAACTCTGCTGAAAATGCTTGCCCCTTTTAGTCGTGGGGGCATTATAACGCGACAGTTAGTCCTTCCATTCATTGGTGAAGAGTAGAACCAGTTGGTGGTGGTGACTAGCTGCTTTTACTCTAGTCTGTCAGTTCAAAAATTAGAATGGCTAATGTAGAGATAGCACATCTGTAGCTTTGCACAAATACTCGAAACAAGTATGTCTTGATTTACCTAGGGACAAACCTTAAAAAACAGTAACAACACATCAGCATAATGATGCACACACCATTTAACTCCATCCCTGTTGAAACTAGTCTGTGTGTGTTTGTTAATTCTTTAATCATTTGAAGAGTATCATGCTGTCCAAATTGGTCAACTGAAGGAAAGAAGGTGGAAAGGACAGATGCTACTTAAACTTAATTCGTCATTACCACTAGTAGACCCTTGTGGGGGTTTATTAGAGGTGTATGTAGTAAGTACCCTATGTTCCTAATTGGAGAATGATAAAACCTGGACTGTGCTGCAATGGGGTTTCACAATTGGAGAGAGAGGAGTCATTTCTAAACTACATGAGCGTGTAAATAAATCTTTTCTTTTTATTGTGATTCACTTCACTAGTTTTTAAAAAGTGATACAATTGTACAATGCGGACTTTTTTGTTTCTTTAACAATTCCATCAGATCTTCAATTACTAAAAGCATATAAATGCCCTGTTCCTCAATACACGTTACGTTTTAACAAAAATAAATATTCTACGCAGCGTTTCAAATCTGAGACATCTTGTAAAATCTATAAGAACGAGCAGAAGATTTTGGAGAAAGCTCGCTATCTTTAAAATTTCGGAATTGTATACTATAAGCTTTTACTGCAAAGCTACGCAATAGGTTATCGGCTTTCTATACATCACAAGGAATTGAACCCTGTAAGTACGGAAAGTTACTGGGGACATATAGGTAAAATCGGTAAATAATCTAACTTATTAAAAATGATGTAAAATTAGCTTGTCTTTAGTTACATGATCTTACTGGTTAACAACAAATGACAATCTAGCCAGTTCTACTTTCTATTCATCCTTAGCAGGAATTTCGGTTTGAATTCTTTCAAGTCTCTCAAAACTTTTAAAACCTGAAAGATAATTGGGGATGCTCAGAAATATTTTTCTCTTCGCCTCACAAGTGAAAGATTCCATATTTGGCAAATGGGCTGAATGTTAAATAGTTCACGAGTCAAATGGTCTGAGTTAGTTATTTAGTTGATTGGGATAGGTTAAGTTTAACCAAATAGGTAAGTTAATGTTGCTGCCTTAAGTGCATGGAGAAGGAAAAGAAGGCAGTGAAGACTCAGTAATGATGACGTAGATGGAAGCTAGATGTTGAATCGTTGAACTATGACCTGCACACTATCTCTGAAGGAATTAACAACAAAAAAGACTAACAAGCTAATAATAAAAAAAAAGGAAAGCAGTCTTGTGGACTAACAGAGGAAAATGACATGAAAAAACAAAAGGTAAACTAGGATACAATGGAATCAGTCTTATGGACTTATCTATAAACAGCCAAAAATCATTATGGAATTAAAGTATCGCCCTTTTCACGGGTGGTGGTGGTGAAAATCCAATCCATGAGAAATTGCTGTGTGGGAAACAGGAGTGCCCCGAGAAAATAAATTTTCACGATCTGGATGCCGATTCATTTGTCTGACCCGTGCTGGGGATATCCTGAAATGATGAGGAAAGTCAAGGATTAATGAACACACGTAGGTAAAGAGCAACAATCTGGTGAATTATCTTAAAATATTGAGAGACAATGCCATATTGGAAAAAGCTCGGACATATTCGTTGTCGATAGGTGAAAGTCGTAAGAAAAATGTCGCAGTACTCCTACTTATGTCCATTCCTATAGGGAGAAGGCACCTCGAAATGTTTCGTTAAATGGATAATTCTTTTCGGATCGAACTGGGTTACCTCTTCATGTTGAGAGTTGATGGAGATATCAGCCTCAGTTTCTTTGTGTCTTCGTTCGCTGGTCAGATGCCATCAGATTTTCTGTCGATGTGTGCGAGTCCTGAGTTGATAGGTGCTGCGTCAGTTTGTTTTTCTTGAATTTATAAGAGTTTTGTATTTCCTGATTAGTGTTGAATATCGTATTGGCTTGGATGTTCTGTGTCAGACATTGGAACGTGAACTTGCTTTGGTGGATATTGGTAGTTTTTGGGAATTGGTTGGGTCTTTCGGCTCTAAAGTGGAACAAAAATGGATATAACATGTTAGTGAGAATATAGTCAGCGGCCTGTTTTGACCTGGTGACGACTTTCATGAAGTGGGTGTTTTTTTACTGTGGTTCTGGATCGAATTTTATAGATACCATGGATTTTTGGAACGAAAGCTGTATTATTTCTGGTGAGATTGTGTGGTTGAAGACCCTAAGAAAGATAGAAAATAGGTTAGCATTAGTACGTAATGGCTTGCACATAACTGGTGGAATAGTTTCATGGGGGATAAAGTTATTTGAATAATTTGTGAGTGGGGAGTTGAATACCCCTTCCCCCCCACGAAGTAGCATGCTTTAGTGGGATATATGAACACTTGGGGCATAAATTCTAAAAGAAGAGCATTAATTTAGGGAAGAGAAAAACTCAGAGAAATTCAGTCGATGAAGAACAGAGAAACTGGTGGATACGTCGGCGCTGGCATTATTGGCTTGGGAAAGCTCCTATCAAGATCTTGGAACTGAAGAGGTCTTATGTCTCCGTGTTTTATCTAGGAATGAGCTTTTAAGCTTCAAAACCTGTACCTTCTATAATTAATAACTCTTATTATTCTAGGTTTTGAGCTTGGTTGTATTAGAAGTATATAATATACAAATATGGTTAACTGAGTAATAATGGATGTTACTAATTGTAGTAATACTAGTATGTGACACGGTACAAAGGAAAAACTGTCATTCAAAATTCCGTAATCAGTTTCTACTTATTCTGAGATATAACTCGCCTCTAAAATAAGTCGTTTAGAATTATCCATATATATATTTCAGTTAATTAATAATTAGGTGATAGATCACTATTCAGTAAAAGACATCTTACGTTACGTCAACGCTGAACCTGACGTATATAATCCAGGTCAACACGTATAATTTTAAAGTAATTTTATTCCCCTTTTTTTATCTACTTATATCTTTCTTTTCTTATTTTCCGGCTCACGGCAATGGTAACGAACATTCAGAAAACAGTGGCATTTTGATTTATTTAAAGCTAATAGATTTGCCAGTTGCCCAAGCTTTAGTATTATCTTTCGGCCATATTCCGACGTTTTTACGTCAAATTTAGGAAATTCTTCAGGGGTATCCAATCTTTTCTATAAGACGTTGCCTTGAGATGTTTCAATTAGCCACAGTAATTTTGAATTACATCGCTTTAATATTCCCTGGAGTACATATACATTGTTACTAAGAAATAGTTTTTATCTAACTCTATATAGGCTTTCCACAGACAATTCACGATATTTTGTGAATGTTGAAAATATAGACACTGTGGAGAAAAAAATGATGTGAAATCCAAATAGGTATTTGAGTTTATAAGTCTTGGGTAAATTCCAATCCTTTCAGTTTTCACTGTAAACTCTATATTTTTCTCTTGTCCGTTCAACTCGGGGAGGAACGTAGAAAGGATTTCGCTATCATGGACCAGACCAAGAACTTGTTTTTACGTAGCGAAGCCAAGAATTGTTTCTTCTAGCGTATTTCTTTCTCATTCTTCCAGTATAGTTCGTAGAAAACTATTTAAAATGATGAACTCGTGGACTTTCGTTCTGTACTTTTTTTTAAGAAATTGTTTCCCTTTCTAAAGATTTTTTTTAAAATTGTTTAAAAATATTAACTTGTGGTTATTACCGCTCACTGTTTGAAATAGTAGAAAACCGAGTTGATAAAGTAAGAGTATTTTTTACATAATTTTTATAGCTATTATTATTATTTAAAAATTTATAAATAATTTAAACTTTTGATCAGGAGACTCATTTATAATTTTAAATTTCTAAATTTTATGATAAAAAATTAATAGTATATTTAATTTTCAGCACATATTTTCAACACCATTACGAATCAAATAGTTTATATCTTCAAAACATTTTCTCGTTTTGGTTCCAATACATACTCATATTTGTTCTAATAGTAACAAATCGATGTTGTATCTTTTTGCTCTGCGCAACCTCTCTAACCAATCAAAACTTCCGTCAGTCACGCTTATTTAAGATGGCAGCATGTTGTGGTCAAGATGCAGAGGAAAGAGTTTCAGATGAAAACTGTACTCTACATTCACAGTTTTGGCTTACTCCGCTTAATCAGATTAATGTAAAAAATGTCAGCCCGACAACCGTGATGTCTAGTAGTAATAGTAAAAACCAAGAACTCAGTGAAGTATGTTCCTAATTTTAAAGTTAAGAAATATAGACTTAAGACATTTTGGTCGACTGTATTACTACTAATCAGTGACTAATGTTAGGCCTAAATGTTTTGAGTACCGCTAAAGTACCATCAGTAATAGGGTCAATATCTATGCATATACGATATAATTATGTCGTCTATGCTGTTTGCAAATGGACTTAAATTAGGTGTACTTTTATTTGAAAACCTAAAATTAGCACTTGGTGAATTTTAATTCTTAATGTTACAAAGATATGACGATGCATTCTTTTTTTCATAAATTATAAATTCCATTAGTTATTTATCAGTGAGTATTTTACTTTAATGATAGTATAAGTCCTTTAACCTGTATCAGAAATTCTGTCATCATTTAAACACTTATTTGAACAAAAACTCTGATTTAAAATTGATGCCATAATACCAGAAACTTACCTGTTTGACAGTTCTTCAACTTCTTGAGCATAAGTTGACTATAACATGCCTTTTTACTTTCATTGTATAGGTTAATTTATTGTTTACTAATTCAACAGTGGTCTTAGGTCTCCAATATAATGCTGGG